TTTCTGGATTCGGCGTCTTATTCAACCGCTGAGATTAAAGAAATATTTTTAATGCTTTTATCATTTTAGTTTTGACTTTTAAATCTTTAATCCGTCTAGAATTTGGAGATGTGGGTAATATGTAAAGTAGTAATCTAACTTTTAAAAAAAGATCAGCTGATTGTCTCAATATCACTAATTATGAGTATGCAACCCATGCTTTCCTCTGTGATTTGAAATCCCATTATTACTTCCCAACTTCCTACTTGGTTATTTTCCGTACTGTTTTCGGTTCCATCTGTCTACTATTATACTCATTATTTTTCTAGCTAATAGAGCAAGTCCCTCATGTTTGATTTGTTGTAATCTAGAATCAGTTTGCTAAGCCAATTGAAAATCCTTTTGGAGTCTTAATTTACTCTTAATTTAGTCTTAATCTAAACTAAGGGAAGGATTATTTTGGGAAGGATTGACCCCTTGACCCCCAAATAGTGGTCATGACAACAGCAGGCAGCCTTGTCCTTTTTGTCCCTTTAACTGGGAGGGCACTAACATTTCCCTTTGACTCTGATATTGTCACAGGTTTCTAGTACATACCCAGAAATGCCAATGTTCCCTTCAACTCCTCATTTGCCAAGGTTTATTTCTTTGTTTAATCAGGAATGGCTTTTGTATCACCAAAAATTTAGGAGCAACTGTCAAGATAAACTTAACCTTTTTTTCCTTTTAATCTGTTGATCTATTTCTTTTAATCATGAATAGGGTTGATGCATTCTTAAAGTCTTTGTCGGACTGTCCTATGAAATTGTTTTTGTCTGGAGTGAGTTTGTGCTTTGATTTTTTTTTTTTCCTTTTCCAGTTTTTACTTTTATCATTAAATTTCTTCATGAGTTTGGGAATTTTTGTGTACATGTTTATTTTATTTTGACTGAGAAAGCTTTTGGCTTTTCTCACCTCTTTCTCCGTCTCCTTCCTTCTCCTTTGCCCCTCCCTGTCATCCTCTTGCTCCCATGTTTACCCCTCACTCTTAGTGATTTTTAACCCTTACATTTTAAACAAACATATTTAACTTATATTTTCCGTCAGCATTTGGGCTTACTTAGAATATATACGATCCTCCAAAACCAGACAAGATCCTTAGCAAGCTTTCAGTTCTCCTCTGCTTTTCACCCCTAACCTCACAGCCAACTCCCATGTTAAAATCATCTTAGTTTTACTTCAATATTGTTACCATATTTATTTATTTTCACTTTATGCAGTAACTATTCTTCTTTACTTAACTATAAGTCTTATTGGTTTCTTCTCTCAACACTGGTTCCAGTAACACATGCTATCTTTCTTTCCTGGACCTTTTATATTTTCTGAAATCCACACTGGACTAATTTTCTTAGAAAACATCTGAAAAGCTTTCATTGTCCTTACATTTCCAAAATGTTGTGGGTTTTTGCCATTGAACTTCAAAATAAGCTTGACTTTTTAAGATTCTAGCTTCAAACATATTTTCCTCTCAGTATTTTCAAGACATTACTATCTATTTAGAGTTCCAGGTCACTTGTGACAGAATCTTGCCAACCTGATCTTTTTTCATTGAAAATAACTTGTTTGCTTGTCTTTTTCCTTCCGGAAGCTTCTAGGATTATCCTTTTACTCTTTGATGACAGAAAGCTCATTAGCATGTGGCTGAGTTTGTTGCTATTAAAAAAAATGAATCTTGCTTTTCACTTAGTGGATTATCGTCTCCTTTAAAGCCCTGTGAATTTGTCTTCTGTTTCCAAGTGCATCTCTTTGGTTGCACATGGAAATCCCCAAATAACAGTGGCATAATGATATAGAAGTTTATTTTTTCCCTCACATAGAAGATATTCAGAGGTAGGCAGTCTCAGACTGGTATGTTGTTCCACAGCGAGAAGAGGGATTGAGGTTCCTCTTTTTCTCTCAAGATAACCTTATAATCCAAAATGGCTGCTGGAGCTCCAGCCATCACTTCCAAATTACAGACTGGAGAAAAGGAAAAAAGCAGGAGGGCAAAAATGGATTCCTCTTACCTGAGCCAACTTCCTATAAGCAGCCTTTCTTGGAAGGCACACCCAATGATTCCACTCACATCTTCTTGGACAACATTTTGTCACATGACCACACTTAGCAATAGGAGAGTGTAGGAAATATAATCTTTTATTCTGTGCAGCAATAAACCTAGCTAAAACATGAGCTTCTGTTACCAGGAACTCCTGGATTTCTTTTCTAGGTCTCAACGTTTCTCTAAGACTTTCCATCTCCTCGCTTATTTGCTGTCTTCAATAACTACCTCTGTAACATGACGGTTTATAGTGTTAATTCTGTGATTTAGCCCATTATTGAGTTGTGGCGTTTGTTTCTTTGTTTGTTCATTTGTTTTTTATGGATCTCATACCTTCAGATTCCAAGAACTCTGTTTGTTCTTTGCATAGCAGTCTGTTCTTAAATGTCTATGATTTCTCAAATTTCCCTGAGGATGTTAATTAAGATGTTTTAAAGTTCCGTGTTGTCTTTGCTGTATCTGTGCATGTCTGTAGAAGTGTCTACTGGGTCAGTATATGTCAGAATAGACACATATGATACCAATAATTGGGAAATACAACCACTATTGACATAGTGGTTAAGAACATAAACTTTAATGTTGCCCGACCTGCTGTGGGCTTCAATGTCAGCCTGTTCCTTACTAGCTGTATGATCATGGACCCTATACCGATTTCCTCAACTACAAAGTGGAGATTTTAACCTACACATTGATGTATTAACATCTGTAAAGCCCTTAGTACAGTGCCTGGCTGATGGTAAGCATTTTATAATTGTTAGCCACTAATATGAATTCTCTGCGTGTATGTGTCTTTTAGAATTGTGTCCTTTGATGTCATTAATTCGTTTGAACTATTTACAGTGTAAAGGTACTCACTTGTTCTCCATACTTCTAACACATTTATTTTGCAACTTGTCCTCTGCTTTATGGTTCAGTTATTTTTAGAAAATACAGAAGAGTTCACTTTTATGCACTTCTGTCAGCCTTTGTCTCTCTGATTTCTTCTAGTGTTTCGAAGCTTAAATAGTTCAAAGATTCACTTCTATGGTTTGCAAGTTTCATATGATTCAACTACATACATTTCATTGACCTGATATGTGGAGAATGGTGTGAGGTAGGGATTTAGGCTGATATGTTTTATGTTGTTATTCAATTGTCTCAACACTTTTTATTATTCCATCACTTCACACTGACTTGTGGTTCCTCCTTCATCACAGAGTACATTCTCTGGTGAAATAGAGTTTGTCTGGTCAGTACGTCCATTGATTTATCGTGTGTGTGTGTGTGTGTGTGTGTGTGTGTGTGTGTGTGTGTGTGTGTGAAAACCCATTTCTTTACTTAGACCTTTGCAATAGATTTTGCCATTAGGTGGAGACTCATTATTTTTATTGAAGTGCAGTTGATTGACAATATTCTGTAGGTTTCAGGTATACAGCAAAGTGATTTGGGGCACATATGTACGTATATATCTATATTTTTTTACTCTTGATTCCTTTCCATTATAGTTTATTACAAGATATTGAATATAGTTCCCTGTGCTATACAGTAAATCCTTGTTGTTTATCTATTTTATATATGGTAGTGTATATCTGTTAATCCCATACTCCCAATTTATCCCTCCCCCACTTGCCCTTTGGTAACCATAAGTTTGTTTTCTATGAGACTCCTTATTTTAAAAAATCTCATTAACTGTCCTCACATATATATTTTTTTTCTTCTGAGTTCCCACAAGAAAAAAAAATCTTGTTAATTTTTGATTAGAATTGTGTTAAACCTATAACTGACTTTCAGATGAATTGACCTCTTTACATGTGCAGTATTTACATTTGTGCTAAGACCAAAAGAGAAGCTCTGAGTTTTTAGGCAAGTTACAGGTAGACAGAGCAAGCTGCCCCAGCTCCCACAGACTCTCCCAAGCCTGCCATGGCATTGCCCCCTGCAGGACCTAAAGTGGACAATACTGTCCCCCAGCTCCAGGACTAACCACACTGTAAACATCATTGAGTTTGGTTCTCCTCATGACCACCATGTGAGATACGTTGGGTTGTGCTTATTTTACAGATGCAGAGAGCAAGGTTCAGGGAGCATTGGTGAGTCAGCCAGTGCACAGGAGGGGCACAGCCTGTGTTGAAAGTCAGTTTGGCTGAGCCCAGGGCCGTGCTTTTCCCAGAAAGGCAGCTTCTGATGTGCATGTGTACAGCTTGAGTGAAGTTTTAGACAATCTTATGGGCAGAAAAGGAGTCACAGTCCTCTCTATTACTCTCCTGGTACTTACCAGGGCTGGATGAAATGAGAAAAGGAGATCCCCAGGCTTCTGCGGAGAAAAGGGAACTGGCATTTCAGGCGGTGGTGTGGGAGGAATGAGGTAAATGGAAAAGGGCAGGGAGAGTCCCAGGCCCCTGCGTGTGTATGAGCTTGTGTGTGTGAGCGTGCATGTGCTCACATCCAGAGGAGGATCACACTCCCAACACCCAGTGACTCCCTCAGGCAGATGTGGGTCAGTACCAGGGGGACCCAGGGACAAATCAAATACCAGGCCTCCCTCTTAGATTTTTCTCAACACCGGTGCACAGGGTACCCAATGTGCGATCCAGTGGGAACCCACATCTTCAGAGGCCATTAAGTTCATCTCCCTCAAGGTCACGTCCCAGGCACTGAGGCTGAGGAGAAGGGACTGTCCCAGGTGCCAGGCTGAGGCAGCAGTGGGAGTTGGAGCCCAGGCGTCAGGGCCACTCCTGGGTCCGCCCCACCACGTGGGCCAAGTCCCAAGGGCTGACGCTTCCTTCCGCAGGCCCAGAAGAGGCAGGGTCCTAGAGAGAGGATCCCCAAGCGTAGAGGGCATGGGTCTGGCCTGGCCCCCAGCTGGGTAGGAACACAAGATTCTAGAACAGTGAGGAGTCCAGACCCTACCCAGACCTGGACCCACCTGAGCCAGCCACCTGCTCTTCCAGAGCTGACTCCAGAGATGGCGTTGCCCCGGGGACCGCTTCCCCTGGCCCTGCTGCTGCTCTGCTGGGGGCCCTGCGTGGCAGGGGCCCAAGGTGAGCCCGACTGCTCCCTCCCCCTCTCCCTCCGCCTTCTCACTTCTGTGCCCCATGCCTAAGGAAGCTCCAGACCCTACGCCCCAGGCTTCCCTCCCTTCCTTCCTTGCCCCCGGCACCCCCTGCTATTTCTCTTCTCTCCTCATGGTCCCTGGAGTCCCCTCTTCCCTCCTCTCACGTTCCCGCTCATTCTTCTCTGGCCTCCTGTAAAGGCCCTCTCCGGTTGTGTGGCTTCTCTGCCCACATTTCTCATTGCGGCATCTGAGGCCTCTGACCCCCTCCCTGGCCATTCCATTCCTTTCTCTGACCCTCCCTCGCCCCCAGACATCGGCACCTAGATGGCCTCAACCAGTTCCCACCACAGCACCTTTGCTCCTGGGGACCCTCGGCCTGGGGGTCTCTCCTCCTGCCTGGAGGCCCTGCTGAGATGCTCCCCAGGCTCTTCAGGCCCGTGAACCCCCCTCCCCAAGAGCTCGCTGAGAGCTTGGCTCCCCTGATAACCCTGGAGACCACGCTCCCTTTCCCAGCAGCTGACCACGAGAGCAGTGTGGGGACGTCCCAGAGTAAGGCCCTGCCACACTACCCCTTAGGGGTGGGTTTGTGCCTCTGCTCCCAGGCTGCACGCACTCGGGGCCCAGGGGCAGGGCGTGTGCCTGATGCCTGTCCCCACCCTGGAGTGAGAGGGACCCTGTTCCAGGAGCAGGGCAAGGTGGGGGCTCAGGATATATACTGTGAATCAACTAGACTATGTGTTTCTGTGCAGACAGGAGGGTCCGCGGCTGGCACCCTCACAGCTGCAGAGCCCCCAGCCCCACCCAGGGCTCCTGGGGACCTCTGTCTGGCCTCCAGGAGCCTCTACGGGACTCTGGGAGACGCCTCTACGGGACTCTGGGAGACGTCTCCCCAGTGCCACACACCAGGAGGGGCTGAGAGGGGCGGTGACAAGGGACATCTGGAGGGGAGAGGTGTGACCCCCTTTCTGCCTCCCCCTGTCAGGGACCTTCCCCCTGCAGACCCTGCGCTGCCATAACGACTACACCAGCCACATCGTCTGCAGGTGGGCGGACACCCAGGATGCCCAGCGGCTGGTCAACGTGACCCTCCACCGCAGGCTGAACAGGCGAGTGAGGCAGGGCCCGGGGCCGGAGGGCAGGAAGGGTCTCTGCTGTGGGGACTGTGCCGGGGTCGGGGCTGGACGGAGGACGGGGCGGGGAGGCCCCTGCCCAGGAGCTGCTGCCCCATCAGGCAGCCTGCCAGGCCTGCGGGCCGGTGTCTGACATCAGGTTTGGGGGAAGAGCCTCCTGTGTTAATATCATTGTTATGATGGTGATGGTGATTACCGCCCCCCCCAGCCACATCGTCTGCAGGTGGGCGGACACCCAGGATGCCCAGCGGCTGGTCAACGTGACCCTCCACCGCAGGCTGAACAGGCGAGTGAGGCAGGGCCCGGGGCCGGAGGGCAGGAAGGGTCTCTGCTGTGGGGACTGTGCCGGGGTCGGGGCTGGACGGAGGACGGGGCGGGGAGGCCCCTGCCCAGGAGCTGCTGCCCCATCAGGCAGCCTGCCAGGCCTGCGGGCCGGTGTCTGACATCAGGTTTGGGGGAAGAGCCTCCTGTGTTAATATCATTGTTATGATGGTGATGGTGATAATCTTCTCTTGTTTTGTCACAATTGAACAAGATCACCAGGCAGAAATCGATCTCGGTTCATCCTCCCTGTGAGGTGGGCAGGGATATGATGCCCAATTCACAGATGAGGAAACCGAGGCCGTGGAGGTGAGGTCCCTCCCCCAGGCCACACGGTGGGGAAGTGGCCTGAGCGAGACCAGTGTCCTGCGTCCAGCCTGCATAGCTGGGCTCCACGTGCCCCCCGGGCCCTGCCACCTTCAGAGTGGTGGTTTCTCCTGTCTCCTCACAGGGTCTCCGGGGGCCTACCCCATTTGGGAAGGTGCTCCCACCATTCTGGGATTTGGTGAGAGTCTGACTCACTATAATAGAAATAATGAAACAGCTGGCATCACAGGGTCTGGGGTGTCCCCTGGAGGCCACCCCTGGGAAGGAGCCGCTCTCACCCCACGGCGTCACTGCCCTTCCGCTCTCTCTCCTGCCCTCCCGGGAGCCTCAGTCTTCCTTGTCCACTGTCCTCAGCCCCCACTCCACCTCCCACCCTTAGCCGTGACCCGCTTCCTTCTGCTCGGGGACAACAGATCCTCCCACCCCGACCCCTAGCCCCCCACCTCACACGTCTGCCGCCTTCCTGGCCCCGCCCTGCAGGATCCGCCCTGTCCCAGGGCTGCCTGAGGCTGCAGCCGGGGTCCCACCTGGTCTTGCTGCTCAAGGACATCGCTGCCACCACAGTCCCCACTCTTTTGTCTTTCAGTCGCCTTTCCCTCCTTTCCTTCTCCACCACAGCATTCAATCCATCAGCAAATGCTGTCAACTTTATCTTCAAATAGGATGTGAATCTGGCTAACATCATGGTTCAAAACACTTCCTATCACTGAGATAGTCCAAAAGCCTCCTAACTGGTCCCTCCCCTTCCAATATCGCCACCCCCTGAGACCCAGTCTATCCGCAGCCCAGGAGCCAGAGGAACCCTTTCAAAGCTGCCAAAATGTCCCTCCCTTTTGCTCATAACTCTGAATTTTCCCCAGTTCCAGTGAAATCAAAATAATCAAATTTCCTTAAATCCCTTTTGAGCACTGGCCTCCCATCACCTCCCACAACTAGGCTTCTAGACCTCCCACCCTTACATCTCTACTCTGTGCACACTGGTTAACTGCCTATAGTTATACAGCACTCCAAACCTGTGCCTACCCCAGGGCCTTTGCACTTGCTGTTCCCTTTAACTGAAATCCCCTTTCCCCAAAATCCCCTTTCAGAATCCACATGGAGTCCTCTCTCATCTCCTTCAAGTTTCTGCTCAGATGTCACCTTTTCTAAGAGACCTTTCCTGCCTCCCTTATTTCGAATTGTATCCCCAACCCAGCCCTTCTGGCCTCTTCATACCTCTTTCCTTCTTGACTTGTCTATGCACAGTGTTCTCCATCTGACACACGACCTAGTTTCTTCAGTTGTTTCATGTGTATCTCCCTCTATTAGGATGTCAGCTCTGTTGACAGGGATTTCTGTGTGTTTTGTTCCCTGCCAGGTCCCCTGATCCTAAACAAAGCTTTACACATGGGAACCACTCAATAATGTTTGTGAATGAGTGATTCTTCTTCTCTCTGGGCTAACCTGCATCCTCTCCTGACAGGGGCCTTCCACAGCCAGTGTCCTGCAGTCTCAGTGATGACATGCCCTGGTTCGATGGCCATTGTCCCGGCTGTGTGCCCAGAATATGTGTCATTCCCTACAAAGTTTTTGTCATTGCTGACCATGACTTCTTCTCATTCCGACCAGACCAGCCTCTGGGTGCCCAGCTCACCGTTACTCTGAGTCAGCATGGTGAGGCCTGGGGGCCCTGGCCAAGGGTGGTCCCTTATGTGGACAGGGGTGTCCGGGCTGCAAGAGATGGGCCAGGGAGGGAGATCCTTCAAGGGGTGTAGACAGAGGCTTGAGTTGGGTTTGGTTCTTGGGGGAAGAGGATACGGTCTCCTTAGATGGAGGCATTGGGTCAGGTTCAAGGTGAGGAGCCCCAGCCAAAGGTACCCACCCCCTCCCAGATGTTCCAGCACCTGCCAAGTTATTGCCTTCCAGACCTGAGGCTTCCCGTCTAGAAGAACAGTCCTTCCTAGGCAGATACAAACTTTATTCTTTCATCAATTTGGCCTCATGGAACGTCTGTGACAACCCATTTAATAGATGAGGCATTTGAGACCCAGAGCAGTTACGAAACTTTTCCAAAGTGCTACCATGAACCATGAGGATAGTGATGGGCCGGACTTGCCGAGAGCTCTCTGCATGTTGGAGATGAAGGTCATGCCCTTACTGCCCTCGCTGCGCAGCCCCCAGTGTGTGCTCTGTGTGTCCACAGAGCCTAAGAAAGTCAATGGTCTTGGGTGGGAGTCGATGATCATTTTATATAAATAGTCGGGCTTCACTTAACTGCACCTCAGACAGAAATATAACCAACACTTTCATTACATTAATTCAATTATATTTGTGCTTAGAATGACCCTGAAATAAACATGGGGTCATTTTTAAAACTTAATATTGACATGGCAAGAAATCTGCAGGAAACACTACTTGATCTTATTTAATCATTACAATAATGTGTGGTGTCATGCACTACTTTTTACCCCATTTCACAGATGATGAAACAGGCTGAGAGAGCAGGAACTTGCCCAGGGTTAGGTACTCAGATGCTAGTGTCTGAATTTATTGTCCTGGATCCCAAACCCTGGGCCACCTGCTGTTCCTTGCAAGTGTCGGATGGGGAAGGGGCTCCAGCCTTTGCTTCCTGCCTCTGTTCATCACAGCAGCACAGAACTGTTGCCTGGAGGAGGGGATGGGTTAGGCTGTGATGAATTCACTCCAAACAATGTCTCAAAACATGTGTCTGATGGATGAGAAGGAGTCCCGTCCCGGTGGAGCTCAGAGCGTACAGTGCGGGACACACCAGATGTTGTCGGGTGTGATCACTTACTGAAGGCGGGTGTGTGCCACGTGCCGAGGGGTAGTGGACAAGGGACCCCTGGGAGGTCAGGACGGGCTTCCCCAAGGAGGGAGCTTTGCAGGGAGATCTGAAGGGTGGGAGGGAGCAGAGTGGGAAGAGCATCCTTGGCAGAGCAAGGAGTGTGTGCAAAGACTGGGCGACTCGGGAGGACGAGGCAGGTTGGGAAACCCGCAAGTAATTGTGTCTCAGAAGCATCAACTTCAAAAGGACTGGGCAGTGGTAAGGAGGGGGGCAGGGAGGGCAGGGGCCTGGCCTGGAGAGGCTTCTGTGCTCTGCAAAGGAGTTGTTTAGGGGTCAACATCTAGACCATGGAGAGCCACTGAAAGAGCATGTCATGATCAGATGTGGGTGTGAGGATGTCAGAGGTGGGTGATGTACAGTGTAGATGGCAGGTGACAGGAGGTGGTGGGAGGATGGAGAACAGAACGTGACCTAAGGTACTCATCCCAGGGAGAAATGATAGGGATTCAACTGCTGTATGGCCAAGGGATGGGAAATTGGAGGGATACAAATCAAAGTTAGGATACACAAGCAATTCATTCATTAATCTGCTCTTCAATAGAACACTTGCACATACAGGAAAGCAGTGAACAAGCCATCAGTGTCCCTGGCCCTGTGAAGCTTAGGGATGATGTCAGGTGTCATGGTTGAGATGGGGACCACTTAGAAATGGCGAGGGCAGTGCGGCATTTGCCTGCTGGAGCATATGTTGAGTGGGAAGTTCAGTTTTAGCCCAAACCATTTAGGCAATGAATCAGGGAGACCTTGAGGTGCTGGGGAACAGAGAGATGTGCATCTGATCTGCTCTGAGGTTACACGTGTGGGAATCTGAATATTTCACGTCCTCTGTCACCTCCACCTGTGAAATGAGCTCATGGACTACATCTCTCAGGTTGGATGAATAGGTTTTCCATTGGTTTCCCAGTCTGTTCAGTTGGAAGCAGCTTCCTAGGGCTCCAGGCTGACAAGGAGTCCCACTGCATGACAGGCTCAGGGGCTAGGAGTGCATGATTGATTAGTGATGCCTGCTGGGGCTGGGGCTGGGGCAGCAGTGCTCTGGATCTGCCATTCTGGGCTGAAAATTTTCTGAGGCTCCAGCTCTGACACGCTCTATCATGCCCTGTCCCCTGTCCGGCATAGAATATTGACATCTCGTTTGTCCCTTACGGAATTTTTTGTGTTGGAAAGTCATCTCTCAGCATTCAGATATAGAAGCTTCAGGAAGTCTGCAGCCATGCCATTCATGGATGACTCTGCTCACCCAATCCTGTAGGTCCCAGCAGGTGTCTGCTTGCTGTTGGTGATGGAATGAATTCATGAAAAGTCTCTGAAGGTGGACCTACATGTACTCATTCATTTATTCCTTCATTGATTCATTCACTTTGTCCCCATATGCAATGAACCACTCATCTCAGGCCCTGGGGAGAGGCAAGGGGGTCAGGACCCCACCCCTGACATCCACAAGCTCCTGGACTACTTGAGGGGGCAGATGTGGAAGCATCTATATCCTCCAGGGCTATAAGGATCATACAAAAGGCTATGGTGGGGCAGGAAAAGGAGCAAGGGATTCTGCCTGGAGGAGGGGCCCAAGAATGTTCTAGAGGAGGAGACATGTCTGCTGGGCACTGAGAAGTGCAGGATGACACTGGACACTGAAATAAGAAAGTGTGGACAGGAGAGGGTGTCACATGAGTCACAGCGCCCTCTGCTGGGAAGGAGGCCACACACATCTCCTCACGGACAGTGGGGACAGAAGGAAGCTCCACTTGGAGTGTAACTGCCAGCGCTTTGCATGGAGCTTATGTTCTGTGCACCCAGCAGTCTGCACATCTTCATTCACATACACATTGAAACCTCACAATTCAGCAGATGAAGGTCTGAGGCCCACAGAGGTGAGGGGTCTCTCCAAGGTCGCTCAGTCCGTGGCGGCAGTGCTTGGCCTGGAACCCAAGTCTGTCCACACATGGGTCATGCAGGCCCTGAACCTCCCACACAGTCGTCCAGCCCCTTAGGGACCCTTTCCTTCCTCTGCCTCCAGTGCAGCCCCCCGCACCCAGGGACCTCAACATCAGTGCTGCTGGGGACGGTTTCCTGCTGTCCTGGAGTGTGGCCCATGGGGGTTCCCAGAGCCACTGGCTGTCCAGCCTGGAGTTTGAGGTGGTCTACAGGCGGCTTCAGGACTCCTGGGAGGTAGGGACCCCACCAGCTGTGCCCTGCGCCCACGGGGACCTGGCCCAGCCGGCCCTGCTCCAGCAGCCCCTCTCTCCCCCAGGACGCCCCCACCATCTACTCCAGCGCCTCCTGGGCCATGCTGGGGGCAGAGGACCTCATGCCCAGCAGCACCTATGTGGCCCGAGTGCGCACCAGGCTGGCCCCGGGCTCGGGGCTCTCGGGACGGCCCAGCCAGTGGAGCACAGAGGTTCGCTGGGCTTCCCCGCCAGGTAACAGAGTCGGAATTGGGACACTGCCCCCCTGTGGGGAGGGAAGCTCATTACAGCTCCTGGACAGAAAGCGTCCAGGGGTCCGCACCATGGGATCCACGGAGGCTCTGAGCCACGTGTTCACAGTGACTTCCCTGGCCCACCCCGTCCCTACTGTGACTCTGCAGAGGCAGCGGCTGCATCTTACTCCCTTCTGGGCCCCAGTTTGTTGCCCACTTTCTGTGGAGGAACAATTACAATTTAATCACAATGGCATATGAGCATCTGTGTTTTGGTGAGAGCTGCACCATACGCAGACTATACCAACGTGATTGCGTTAAATTCCCAAACCCTGAGGCTGACATGCCCTCCCAGCTTTGCACAGGGGGGTGTGAAGGCTCACAGAATTCACTCTCTGACCTGTGTTTACACAGCTGGCCCTTCGGGCTGAGTTTAACCCCTGGCCTTTTTGGCTCCAATGCCCATAATCTCTCTGTGATGAGCCTCATGGTGGGCCCACTGAGGGCTAGGGAATGAACGAACGAGGACTGAATGAGGGACTGTCTCCCTCCCAGGGAATGAGTCCCAGCCCCAGAACCTCCAGTGCTTCTTTGACGGGGCTACCCTGCTCCGCTGCTCCTGGGAAGTGAGGTCCGAGGTGACCAGCTCCGTCTCCTTCACCCTGTTCTACAAGTCCGGCCCCAGTGCAAGGTGAGTGTCCCCCGCCTCTGTCCCCTCTGCTCCTCTAGGCTTAGCCCTCTCCTGGCCTCCTCCTGCCCCTGGGGGCCCAGCAGAAGCCACAGTTCATCCGGAGGTCTCATCCCTCATGTGGCCCTGCCTCCCCCTGCCTCCCCTTTGCCATGATCCTCAGGGAGGAAGAATGTTCCCCAGTGCAGACCGAGGAGACCAGCAGCCCTTACGTCCGGCACTGCTGCCAGATTCCCGTGCCTGACCCCAGGAACCACAGCCAGTACATCGTCTCTGTTCGACCAAAAGAGGAAGAGAAACTTATAAAGAGCTCAGATAACAGTGAGTTTGCCCCCAACCTTCTGCACGGAGAGTCTTGTGACAGCGCTGTTTCCTTTGTAACCCGTATAAACTCAGGCCTCTCAGGGCCCAGTCTTCATGTCTGACACTTTCAGTGAAAAGTCCAGGGAGCAAACTGAACAAACATGATTCCCATGGGTCCCGGAAGTTCTCAAGTAGCAATAATGCAGCAATGACAATGAGAAATAACATGAAGGAAGGTGCAATCGATCTTCTCAAGAAGATCAATATTAAAACCTTGACCTCATTCTTTTAACTCTATTCTCCCTTCCAACTTGGCAGCTGCTCTGAAGTTCCTACTGTTGCCCATGGCCTCTTGGTCATCCCACCCAATTTTCCCTTTCTTTCCCTGATTTGATTTTTCTCTTTCAGGTTTCCAAAGTCCTCCCCTGACTCTGATCTTTTCAGTCTTCAAGATAATTGATCTATGACTTACTTCTTCATAGAGCGTATGCAAATGGACTGGGGACTAGCGCGTATGCAAATGGACTGTAATTCCTTACAGGTTAATTTTCCTGATTCCTGGTACATAGCAAGGACCTTATGCAAAGGAATCTCCTGCATTGCTTCATGATGATCAAGTTCTTTCACCCGGTCTTTAGTGTGTGTCGGAGACAGCAGCCAATTTGTCCTAGTCGCCTGGGTTTGAATCCACTGCTTACCCTTTGGGATCCTCCAGGTTGCAATCTTCGTCTCTACCACTTGTTAGCTGCTTGTCCTTAGCAAGTTACCTGATCACTCTGGGGCTCGGTTCTCTGTCTGAGAAGTGGACAAATTGTGTATTTACTACATAGGGTTGCTGTTAGAATTGAGAGAAATAATTCATGTAGATTTAGCGTTCATAATAATGCTTAGAACACTGTCAGTACTGTAGATTAGAAAAAATTAATAGTAATTTTATTTCTGCTTAAATACTAGGGGTAACCCATACTTTTGGTCACTTCACTGCAAAACAAGTGTATCTCAGCATCTCCCAAGAGAAGGGCGGCTCAGGTCAAAATAGATGACATGGTGAAGTGGGGCTGCAAAGACCCTGAGATGGTGAAATCTGGGGTCCTGGGTCAGTGGAGAGAGCACCTGTGACCAGCATGGAACACAAGGGATATTCCACTGGAGGAATGTTAGAAATGATGTTCTCTAAAAGTTTCCCTCCCTCCAGTCCAGATGGCTTCTCCAACCCTCAACGTGACCAAGGGCAGAGACGGCTACATCCTGCACTGGAAAGAAGAAAAAATGAACTATGAACACATAGCTTGCATCTTCCAGGTCCAGTACAAGAAAGAAGCAACCTCATGGGAGGTGAGGGCCTGTGCCCGAGGAGTGGCCTGGATGGGGGAAGGGGGAAACGAGAAAGACCAGGGAGAGTGCCACCTGCCAGGTTCCTGGCTCCCAGCAGGTGCCCAGTCAGAGGGAGCCACTGGGACTTGGTGGTCGTGCCCCTGTGCAGTCAGGTGAAGTCCTTGGTGAAGGAACTGAGACTCACAGAGCTGATGTGAGCTTGACCAAAATGAACACGTGACCCTGAATCGCAAAGGAGCTGTAGACTTCAGGACGAGAGACAGCTGGAGGAAGGGTTTTCAAAAGTCATAAAGGGGGCATTTCTTCGTGAGAATCTCACCCGAAATGCAAATGTGCAGCTGCTAAGAGGACAGCTGCTCCCTGTGAGGTGGGCAGGGCTCCAGCCTGGGACTCAGTGTCTGGGCCCCACCCCCAGGTATCCATCAGGGCCTGTGGGCAGAGCCTGGGGCTCCACAGAGGCCAGTTCAGAAACCTCAGAGCCAGCCCCAGACCTTCAGGCTGGAAATGGGTAAACTGAGGCCAGAAGGGGGTGTGTCAGTGGTGGAGCTGGAGGTGGTCCCTGGGCTCCTGAACGTCTGTCTAAGGGTCCAGAGTCCAGTCATCCTGCACTGCACTCCTGGGAAGGCCATAATTCGGGTCCAGGCTGTCCCAGGAGGAGCTGAGAGGCTGAGTGGGGACATGGTGACTGACTCCTCAGGGTTTCTGGGCTTCGGTGTTGTCATATGTCACAGGGTGCATTGAAAGAGGTGCTGTCCCTGATCCTGTCTGGGTGCTGTTCCCCTGTGGGCACTGGAGTATGGTCCTCCGTGGTGGGAGTGATGCTGCCTCAGATCTGATGTGACTACAAGCTGGGGACTGATGGGTAGCAGAAAATCTTGGGTGCTGAGGTGGGAGGGCTTAATAGCTGTGCCCACGTGCACCAGACCTGAGCACCTGCTCATACACCTGCACCCACAGGAGACCAAGACAGAGGACTTCCAGAACGCCCACAGCATGTGCCTGCCAACTCTGGAGACTGCCACCAGGTACCAGGCCAGAGTGAGAGTCAAACCTGACCCCCGAGGCTACAACGGGATCTGGAGCGAGTGGAGTGAGGAGAGCTCCTGGGACACTGAGTGGGGTATGTCCTCCCGGCCCCCACTCACCCCTCCAGGCACAGCCCCACTGGGCAGAGGACGGGGATAATATGGGCATGAGATGTAACCCCACCCCAGGCTAGCATCCTTCCCTGCCAGGTGTCATTAGGGATGAGAAAGTGACACCTGGTGTGCAACACGGATTGCAGGTGAGGTCTCGAGAGGGCAGAGGAAAGCACGTCTCACCAACAGGTCTCCCTAAGCCTGGACCTTAGCCTTCTATTAATATGGCCCATGCTTTCATTAGCTTTTGTGGCAGCAACTACCCAGGGACCACTCAGCCCGAGTTTTCTGTTACCATGAAGAACTACAGCCTGGGGCCTGGGATTGGAAAGTTTTGGTCTGATTTCGCAACCTTCCCTCAATCTGCACTTGCTAATTTCATGTTATCTGTCACCATCGCCATAACGGCCACCAGGAGACAAGTACAGAACAAGGTCCAGGAGGTGGTGGCAGAGAGAGGAAAAAGGGTTGGCAGCAAGGTCCCCAGTCCCAGCCAGCCGTAGCACGGAACGAGCACGAGGAAGAGGACCCCAACCAAGCAGAAAGAAGGGCTGGGCCCCTGGACCTAAGGGAAGGAGACCAGGGGAGTCCTGGAGGCGCCCAGCCTCTGAGGGGCTCGAGGCCAAGTGGAGAGTTGTGAGGGCCCCTGATGGGCCTTTGCACCTTCTGGTTCCTCCACCATCACCCCTTTCCCCATCTCGGCCTCTCCAGGCCTCCCTGTTCTTGATGACCACCTTCTATGCTGCCTCCTTCAGGAAGTGCCCTATGATTGCCTCTGGCTGCAGTCACTGCCCACCTACAGCAACACCAGCTACTGGACAGAATCTAACCCTCTGTGTCCTGCCAGCGACCCAGCACTGTGGGTGGCTCAGACAAATGTCCTCCTCTTAGTCTGTTTCTGGCCTTTTCTTCCCCTCTGCATGCCAAGGCGGCGACTTCACCTCATCTCCTGAGCCCCCAGCCCTTTCCCTCCCCCAAAGCTAATGCTCTTGTTTCCTCCTGGCTGCCTGGAAGTGCTGCCCATGTGGGTCCTGGTGCTCACCCTGGTCATCAGCACCTTGATCCTGCTCGTGTCCCTGCGCTTCTGTGGCGTCTACGGGTACAGGTAAGGCGACTCCAAGATGGAGGAGGGCGCTACCCAGGGCCCCAGATGATGCCAGGGACCCCACAGCTGACTTTCTCTAGTCTCTGCTCTGCAACGCACACCCTGTGGGGCCTTGGTCAAAGCTGCCCCTTCCCTGGGCTTTACTTTCACCTCGGTACATGAGCTCGAGGCAGCTGCCCTGAGGTCTTGGGCAGCGGTCACCTCCCTGCTGTCTTTCCAGGCTGAACCAGAAGTGGGAGGAGAAAATCCCCAACCCCAGCAAGAGCCACCTGTTCCAGGTAGGGGCTGGCTGTGAGGGCGGCGGAGCCGCTGGGCCCCTGTGCTCCTGCGCCCACGTCCCCACGCCCGTGTCCTCCTCCCCTTCCGGTGGGCCTTGAGTAGGGGTGCTATGTGGCCAGGGTAGAGGCTGGGAAGCTCTAAGAGCCGGGCCGGCCCCTGCAAGCCCAGCACTGTGATCCCCTGGGCCCCCCCGAGGCACAGGGTACCCCGCCCGCGGGGACTCACGTGGAACAGCAGAGAGGGCTGGCGTGGGGATGCCAGGACCTGGGGGGGCGCAAGGAGAGCCTTAGTCACATCGGGGGCAGGAGGGGTGGTGGGAAGCAACGTGGCTTCCCCAGGACAGGGCAGCAGTGCTGAGCTCTGAAGGTTGGAGGGTGGTGGCAGATGGGAGAGGCCACTGCTGGCAGAAGGCGAGTGGAGGGTGGAGACAAGACTCCTTGGAGAAGGGGCCTGAGGGGCGTGGGCGGTGAGTCTGGGGCACAGCACGGGAGGCTGAGAGGACACCGGGGAGGGCCCCGGCACGTGGGGGGCGGGAGCCCTTTGGTCAGGCAGGCAGGGCCAGGACAGCCTTGGGAGGGTCTCACGGCCAGCACGGAGGAGACTAGGGGTGAGCATGGAGACAGGGGCAGCCCAGATGGGCGTCCTCATGGGCACAGGCTGCCCGTTCTTGCTGCCCTAGGGCCCCAGCCAAGTCCCAGCCCCTCTCTAGCCTTGTGTTCCTGGGGTCAGAAGGGCGTGGTCGCTGCTGCCCATGCTGAGATGCCGCCACATCTGGGGGCTCCTGAACCCTCGCCACCCTCAAGGCCCTCCCCCCACCTCACCTCCTGGGGTGCCCCCACCCCACAGGCACAAATGCCCTCTCTCTCCCCAGAATGGGCGCGCTGGGCTCTGGCTCCCACAGGGCACGCGCGTCGTCGGCAGCGGGAGCCACGCACACAGGGGGCTCTGGGGCAGCAGCTTCGCTCAGCCGGAGGGGTGAGTGTCGGCGCGGGATCCCTAGGAGGTGGGACGGTGGCTCCCTCCTGCACGTCAGGGCTCAGGGGAGGTGGCCTCAGCCTGGGGCTCAACGGGAACAGGGCCTTGGAGGCTGGCTGCACTAAAGTAAGAGGTGTCCCGGCTGGATGGCGGGAAGAGCTTCCCGATTCCCAGCTTAGGGAGGGTCGTGGCCAGAAGACGGAGACTGGAGCAGACGACCTCCCCTGGCCCCGCTGCCCAGGGAGACGCCACGCTACCTTGGTCCCACTGGGTGGCAGAGGATCTGCGAAGCCTCATGGCCTCAGCACCTGAGCGGCTGGCTCACCACTAAGCCTCAGGTGGGGCAGGTGAAGGCCAAGGGCATGGCCGAGCCCAGGCTGGGCGCTGACGCTGCGTGCTGGCAAGGAGAGGGAGGTGGGAGGGGCCACAGCTGGCAGAGCATGACCTTGAAGGAGAACGTGGGGGCTGGAGGGGAGCCACAGGGAGGCTGGAGGGGCGCCCGGTCTCCTGTTCCCAGCCGGCTCCCTCACCTCGCCCTGCTCTGCGTTTCCTGTGAGCTCTGGGTGGAGCCCGGCCTCCATCCCACCCCCTGGCTCCCTGTGCGCGGGCTGAGGTGTCTGTCCAGGGTGGTGCCAGTGTCCCTGCCCTTGTTCTCCCCACAGGGCATCCCCTGTAGACTTCGGGCACAGTGAGGTGTCACCTCTCACCACAGAGGACCCTAAAGATGCCTGTGACTCATCATCTGAGCCTGATGTGACTCTGGTCACCTCAGACCTTTGCACGGAGCAGCCGCCCAGGCCCCCGCCAGAGCTGGCCACCCCCGCAAGCAGGCCTGAGAGCCAGGCTTCCGGCTTTGATTTCAATGGCCCCTACCTGGGGCCGCTTGACAGCCGCTCCCTGCCGGACATCGTGGGCCAGCAGGGGTCCCTACGGACAGGCATGAGCAGGAAGCCGCAGCCCCCAGGGTCCCTGGAGTACCTGTGTCTGCCCACAGCGGGGCAGGTGCAGCTGGTCCCACTGGCCCAGGTGATGGGGCCGGGCAAAGCCAGGGATGCGGACCTGAGGTCCAGCCCAGGCACCGAGGGGAGCCCTTCCCTGGAGTCAGGGGCAGGCCCTGTCCCTCCTGAGCCTGGAGTGATGGTGGGTGATCAAGGCCCAAAGGACAGGGCCCCCCCAGGTCTGCCCACTGGCTCCCGGGGTCCTGAGGAAGGCACTGTGGCCACTGGTTACGTCACCACTGCAGAGCTGGCATTCACCCCACCCACAGGGGCCCCATCTCCTTCCCAGGCTCCCCCTCTGAGCCTCCCCTCAGACCGGAACCCCAGCCTCTGCCCTGGACTGGCTGATGGTCCCCCTGGATCCCTAGCCCCACTGAAGCCAGAGTTCGAAGGCTATGTGGATCTCCCTCCAACCACAGGCCAGTTTCCCCAGTCCCCTCTGGCCAGCCCTGCCCCGCCTGCAGCCAGCAGTCCTGTCCTGGGCCCAGGGCTGCCCCGGGCAGATGTGTTCTCAGTCTCCCCAACCCCTGAGGGGCTCCTCGTGCTGCAGCAGGTGGGTGACTACTGTTTCCTCCCTGGCCCAGTGTCTGGCCCTCTGTCACCCCAGAGTAAGCCCACCTCCCCAGGACCCTGTCCTGAGATCAAGGACCTCAACCAGGTGTTCCAGGCCAAGAAGCCCCCATCTCAGGCCATTCCCCAGGTGCCGGCCATTCAGCTCTTCAAAGCCCTGAAGCAGCAGGATTACTTGTCACTGCCCCCTTGGGATGTCAGCAGGCCTGGGGAGGTGCGCTGAGACCCTGTAGATGTTGAGGGAGGGGAATAGAAGGAGAGGGTCTGCCTTTCCTCCCGCCCTGCCAGCCCCTGGTCCCTTCCATGGTCCTTTCCGCAAAGCCAAGGAGAAGTTTCCATGTTGTAACGTGGAGACCAGAAAAACAAGTCAACCATCTACCTTGTCCCTTGACCTTCAGCAAGGTCAAGCTCCTCTTTCTCTCCCTCCCTCTCTGTCTCTGTCACAGGTCTCTGCCACACAGGCGCACGCGCGCACACACTCACTGTTCTTTCAAATTCACTTCTTTTAGGTTCTGAATTATTAGAGCTTTTTATACATGTACTCATTTCATTTACCCCCGTTTTCCTTTTCTCCCAGTTTCCCTGCTTTTCCTATTGTCTTCTCTTTCCACTGATTTATCATTAGAGTGAGTTTGAGGTCTGGGCTAAGCCTATTCTGAGATGCCATGTCTCAGTCAGAGCCTATTCAGATGCTGACATGTCTGGTTTCATGGAGGACTTCTGTCTGCCCCTGGCAGGCATGAATGCACACGACAAGATTCCAGCCCGGGGACTTCCCTGGCAGTGCAGTGATTAAGGCTCTGCCCTTCCAATGCAGGGGGCGCCGGCTGGATCTCTGCTCAGGGAACAAATATCCCACATGCCATACCCTGTGGTGTGGCCCAGTGCAGGGAGGGGAAGAGGCTCCTGCCCTGAGGCAGGAGGCAGAAGGTGTGGGGTGAGGGCTTGGGGGTGTCAGGCTTGGAAGAGCAGCTCTGGACTCAGCATGCTTCTGTCGGGCGCTGCAGCCCCAGACATGGTAGCAAAGCACCAGCCTCCATTGTCACTCCAAGAAATGGGCATGGCATGAGAAGCTCTGTTCTGAGCTCATAGGAAGCCCTGCTAGTCTCACGGAGGTGACTGGGGAGCCTCAGGGACCCCAGGCCTTGCATCCTGTAGAGGCCACTGACCTGAGCAGTGGACAGTGCCAGCTCCTGGTTGAAGTGATGTCCTTCCTACACTCAAGCTGGTGGGGCCTGGAGAAATTCAGGAGAGGAGGGGACTCCAGAACCCACATCGACTGCAGAAAAGTTGGAAAGAACTGCTCAACAAGAGAAAAAGGAAAATGACCCAAGGGCATGTACACTTGGGCTTATGGTCCAAATCTCCCAGTTGCCCTCCCTCCAGAAAGACCTTACAAATCCCATGCCCAGCAGCCATGTACAAGGGGCTTTTGGTCTATGGCTTGGCTTACACTGGGGATCATGGTTCTTTTAAATCTTTGCCTTTCTGATATGCAAAAAAAATGGCATTAAATTGTTTTAATTTGCATTATTTGAGAACTATCATGTTTGCACATATTTTCATAGTTCTTGAGCGTTTGTATGTTTTTTACTGATCTAAGCCCATTAAGGTCTTCGTTGTGTTGGATGTCCACTTTTTTCTGATTAAGCTTTAAAAACTATTTAGCTCCTGCCTTTCAGAGATGGTGTAAATTTGTTTTCCTCGTTTGTGGTTTGTCTCTTAATTTTGTACATAACACTTTTGGATGTATTCAACGTAGACTCGTCTGGATGATCAGATAGATCTACGGGTGGACTTCTACATGCTTCCACTTTGGGTGTCAAATTGACAAAGCCCTTCCCCACTTCAAAACGGCATTTGTCCAAAGTTATATTTTTTTCTGGTTCTTTTTGTGTTTCAAGCTTTTCATGACAAGTTATAGTGATTTTGGAATATATGCATGTGAAACGGAGAGCCAGTTTTATGTTTCGCCTAAACGAGTCGCCTGGGTGTTCTGGCATCATTGATTGAATTGCCCGTTCTTCGTCCATGTATCTGAAAGGTCACATTTATGATATAGAAAATCCACGTGTATACTTAGTCGGTTTCTAGGCTTTCCTTTTTATTAAGTTGTCCTCTCCATGGCACCCCACCATTCTAACTGTTCTAGCTTTATAATATGTTTTAATAGGTGGCAGAGCAAATGTTCTTGTTCCTTTTGTCCACAAATCCCTGTTCATTACAGCATTGTCTGTGGTCGAAGAAAATGATAAACAATTTAAATCCTCACCAATAGTGAAATTAATCACAACATCTGAGCCCATTCTAAGGTGGAATCCTGTGTTCAAAATGAATGAGGTGGGGGACTTCCCTGGTGGCACAGTGGTTAAGAATCCACCTGCCAATGCAGAGGATACGGGTTCGAGCCCTGGTCCGGGAAGATCCCACATGCCGCGGAGCAACTAAGCCTGTGCGCCACAACTACTGAACCTGTGATCTAGAGGCCGCGAGCCACAACTACTGAGCCCGTGAGCCACAACTACTGAGCCCGTGTGCCACAACTACTGGAGCCCGTGCACCTAGAGCACGTGCTCTGCAGCAAGAGAAGCGACCACAATGAGAAGCCCGTGCATCACAATGAAGAGTAATCCCCTCTCGCTGCAACTAGAGAAAGCCGGCGTGCAGCAACGAAGACCCAGCGCAGCCAAAACTAAATAGGAAAAATGTCTAAAACAGAAAAAAAAAAAAGATTGTCTCTCTGTGAGCTGAACAAAGGCATTTTAGTTTAACAGTCAGGCAGAAAGGCAAGGTTCCCTGTGGCAGGCCACTATGTATGCTTACAGCTATAGACAATGATTACAATAACAAAAGCAACAAAAAGCAAAGGTTAAAGTAAAAGAAACAGATCCAACATGGAGTCAGAATTGGCTCTTCCCTGTTACAGGATGACGTATTACTGACAGTTTACACAATCTAGAGTTAAGCGTCCTTACAAGATCAAGAAGGAATGTTATCTTTTGCTGTCTTGTCAATGCTGGGAGAATGTTGCGCTTTGTAGTTGAGCAGGTATTGCTGCAGATGCACAATGCAGATATACAGTGCACAGTGTGGGGGAGAGAGGAGGCCGAAGGGCAGAGAAAAAATTTTATGTTTACATTTTCTTCTCTTGCCATAAAATATGAATTTTATTTCACACTTTGAATGTGATGATTTGAAGGGTGCCAGGGGCTGGAGGTGGGTGATTATACTACCCTTGGGCCAGCGCCCAGGAGCCATGCTGGGTCAGGGACCACTCCAGAACCCTCCAAGGGGCAGGCCTCCCAGGACCCTGGGAGCTCAGCCTGAGCTGAGAGGGATCCACATGCCGCCTGTGCCTGGAAGCTTCCACGGTGATGGTTCAGTTCCCAAGTGGGGTCACTGCTTCCCTACAACACTCAGGATATTTATAAGCCCCAAAGGGATCAGCAGGCACCCACCCTATGGGCCAGGTGGAGGTGCCCCGCTCCAAGTCCCCTCTATCCTGAGCTGGGAATAGAGGCGAGAGCCACACCATCACTTCTGCAAAATCTTTAAACAGAGTTGGGTGGTAGAGATTGCCAGGAAGGCTCTGAAAGTCTTTAGACACATATTTGTATAATCACTAAAGTCAAAGATAAAGAGTGCCCATGAGATAAATTGAACACCATGACACATCTGGCTTATTCCCATGAGATAAATTGAACACCGTGACACATCTGACTTATGAATAATGGCTGCAGGACAATTTATATCTTGCCCCTGGCTGGCTAGAAGCTACACCACCTTTAACCAGATACTTAAAATTTCCTCTCGTCTCTTAAGGAAAGTTGGAACAAACAAAAAAAAGTTTTCTCCAAGGGAAAATGACACCTTGTTTAGAGCACACCCGCGTAGGAAGAGGGGAGATATGATCCTAGCCTTTTACTGCCCTTGAGCTATTTTAAACTCTATAAATGGTACATAACCGAAAGCAATATAAAATAATCCTTGCCTATAGACATGCAAATAAATTCTGTTCAGCAGAGGGACACCCAACCTCAACACACACACACACACACACACACACACACACACACACACACACACTTGGTTTATTTCAACATTCTCAATCTGTAAGTGTAAATATGTCTGTTCTTTGGACTCTCCTTTGAACTGGATGTAATGTCTACTTGGTCTTCTCATTAATAATGAATTAAATGAAATCTTTAACTTGTGTTAATTTTAAATCTGCATGATTTTGTCCTCCTTTAAGATTCATCAGCATTCAGTGGAGGATCAGAGGTGGGGAAAAATAGTGTCATCTGTAGCACGGAGGCAAAGGCCCTGCAAGTTGACCCCACCCAAGGAAGTGGTCCCAGAGTCAGACTGACTGGCTTTTACTGCAGCTGAGGGTCTGGCATGTCAGCCACAGCCCCCAACCCGAGGCCCTCCCACCTTGGGGTCCCTTGAGGAGACCTGGCAGTCCTTCCATCAGGATGGGGTGATGGGTATGTTCATTACCTTGATTGTGAAGGAGGGACAGTCCAGGACCTGATGGTCTCATGCAGCCTAGATCTACTTGACTCCCCAAGTCACCCCCAAGCCCCAACCCCTTATCTCCTTGGGACCCTTCTGGTGTGAGTCAGCCCTGTGTCTAAGCAACCTCTGTCCTAATCTCTCAAGGCACAAGCTGACCACTTCCTCTGCCTCATTCAAAGCTATTAATTCAAAAGAATTAAATTATACAGTGGAGAGGGAGCTATGGAAAGGTCTGGAATAACCGTAGTCCAGAGAAAGGCAGGCTCGAACGCTGACCCCCAAGCTCTGTGCATTTGAAGCTAGGAACTTGGGATGCAGACCTGGGCACCCCTGAAACCTGGGCAGGTGCCTGCCAGTGGTGATTGGTGACTTGGGAGATTCCCAGGACAAGAAATGTGCCAGCTCCCCGTGACCAGGGCCAGGGCCACAGACTCCCCATGGCTGGACCGAGCCCCAGCGGAGCCAGCCAGTCTGAGCCCAGCCCTCTACTCCCACCTCCCACCTCCCGCCTCCTCTATCAGCATTCCGCCCACTGGTCCTGCATCAGAGGCAGCTCTGTGCCCTGGGCTACACTTGCAGGATTTGCCCATCTAGGTCTCTCTGTGCTCAGCAGGGGGTCCTCCTCTCCCCTTTACTGAGCCACCTGTGCCCCACCCTCCCATCCCCTCTCTCCCTTCCCCCACTGCCTAGCTGGAGGCAGAGAGC